AACACTGGATGGATTTTTCTGCTATATCTATTAGTCATTGTAATAGGGATTGCAATTTAGTAGCTCATGAATTAGCAAGGCAAGCTTTGTTAGATAAGAGTTCTTTTGTATGGGTAGATGACCCCCTAATTCTATCCTACAATTGCTTGTAAACGATGCAACTATTTTATCGAATCAATAAAGTTTGCGTGATTATTTAAAAAAAGATTGATAAAAGCGTAGCATCACTCTAGTTGAATCTGGTATTTGATTCCTGATTTCCTGCCCTTGCTGCCGGAAATTGACAATCCTGGGCTTTGTTTTTGTTTTTGTTTTTGTTTTTGTCGTCGTCTTCTTCTTCTTTTTGCTTATTTATGCTGTGCCATGTGTAAACAGTGTAGGCTTATTTCTTGCACATATGATGAACAAGGTGAAGAACAAGTCACACAAAGGATACTGCACGATGGAATTGGCTCCCGCTAGTTCATATGCCAATTACGAGCAATCTAATTCATTTGAGCATCACGTTTTTATATCGAAATCAAATCACATACATAAACACCTCGAGTTGGGTGTACAGAAATGCACGGTCGTCGACGTAGACATGATCGATCGTGCAGTTAATCAAGAGCATGAGAACCATTCTCCATCCCACCCTTGAACGTCGTCGCCGATGCCGTCCATGCTGTTTTTTTTTTTTCCAAAGAACAAGCAGATGAAATGCATGTCGCAATTCATCATCATATCATAGGAATGAACTCACGAGGTCTTACTCTTACCACGGCAAGGTGACGTCTTCGCCGCCGTCGCTGCGACTGCGATCCCCCTCGTAGCAGCAGCTGTAGTAGTCGCCGTCGTCGACATGCATCATCGTCGCCAGGACGCCCCCCGTGATCTCTCCTTGCTCGGCGGCACCGACATCATCGTCGCCACAAAGCCACCGCCAATCCGCCGGCAAACCGGCCGCTGTGGCCGCCGCCACGTCCTCCGCGTTTGGGGGCGCGCGTTGCCCGCTCTCGAAGATCTTGCTCCACCACGCGGCCACGTCCGCGGCCGCCGCCTCGCTGCACTCTACGCCCTGAATCTCGCCGCCGGTCGATGCCTGCTGCGCCATCATCTCCCCGCCGTCCAGCAGCACCGGGACCAACGCCGCTGCTGCTGGCGCGTCGATCACCGAGTGCTTCTCGATCGTTCTCTGCATCTGTTGCACTGAGCGCCGGTGACGGTGATCCATGACCACAGGCATGGGTGGTCGCCGTCTCTATTGCCGGAGGTGAGTACGAGTACGAGGCTGCCGGTGATGGTTGGGTCAATGGAAGGCCAAGCAGATCTTCACAGTCGTCCTTGGCACCATCGTCCACAGAGACACCAAAACCTTGGAAGCTAAGGTTCAGTCCTAGCGGCTGTGCAGGCAGGCTGTGAACCAAACGCTCCAAGCCGCCTTGGTATTGGTGGTAGTGCTCCAACTCCACCAATCCCCCCATGGCGGCAGTGGGTAGTGGCAGTTCAGGTGGCGTGAGATCACAAGGAAGAACGGGTGGTGAGCAGTAGCTACTGGCGGCAGCAATCCAGTGCGCAAGTGGAGAGTTGCACAACGGATTGGCGAAGGAGGCGGCGGCGTAGCTCATCGTCGTATGCGCCAGATATGCTTCTTCGTCAGCCGCCGCTTGGCTTCGATCCTGAAACGCCACTACTTGCACCTGCTGCTGCTCTTCTTCTTGCTGCTGCTGTTGTTGTTGTTGGGGCTGCTGCAACAGTGGTTGACGCAGCAGCGGCGGCTCGTGATGATGCTGGTACGTGGATTGCTGCTGCTGCCTCGTGCTGCTGGCCCGGTGGATCTTGAGGGCGGTGACGATCTCCCGCCGCGCCTCCGCCATGTTGAGCAGCCTCTCCTGGTACGGCCGGCTCGTGTGCGTCCTCCTCCTCGCCTGCCTCTTCGGCTGCGGCTTCACAGCCAAGCCTTGCAGCTGATCCATCTCCTGATGATGCGGCCGCAGCCGACGACGACGACGACGATGATCGTGTGGTATGGTATTATTGGTCATGGTGTTGATCGGTGATGATCTTGGGATAGATCTTGCTGTGGACGATGAGGAGGAGCTCAGATGCTTCACAAGGCTGCTAATGTAAGCAAGCCCCAGCTGAGAGGTGTGCAGCCTGTTCGTTTGGTTTGTGCTTGTCGTATACGATCGTAAATTTACAGTCAGAACAGTATTTTTCTCTCACACAAACCAGCCAGCAGTACTTCTTCATGAATCAGCAACTATACGAACCAGCCTGATCGTTTGGTTGTCCTTCTTGGTTTGTGCTGTTGTTCCTGAAAGAGGAGGAGAAAGGAGGTCAAGGAGTTGCAGCTAGTCTAGTCTGTGCCTGGATGAGTAGCTTGTCATCGTAAGCGCTGTGATCACTGATCAGGCTTCGTCTCCTCAGGAGTCGGGCCTCAGCTATGCACTATGACTGTAAGGCTATATGATGAGTGCGTCAGAACTAGAACCGTCCCAGTGGATGTTTCATACTGACACGTCAAGGACGAGGCGGCAAAGAAAATTTTAAAGATGAGAGAGAGTGAGTTTCGTCCTAGTAAAACTGTAAAACTCGGCTGCCACTATTTCTGAGAGAATGAAACTGCACTGAGAGTCTGAGAGTCCCAATGAGTTGGCCAATCTCATGCAACATTTTATCACAACATCATACAATAATTAGAGTCATAGAGTCTGTTTGTCGTGGCTTCAGCTTCAACAACCACTTCTGCAGAGGAGCTATACAAAACACTTTTAGAGGGAGAAGCCGTTTTCTAATAAATAGTAGAAGAGTCGGCCGTTGAGTCCGAAGGAGGAACGCACGCTCCCGGAGGAGCACTTAAGGAGCCATATCAAACAAGTCGCGTTATCTCATACATCAACCAAAATCAATTTACATAGGTACCTTGAAAAACACTTCAGGACCCACAACTGTATGTGCTATATGATAAAAATTGAATATAATCACTGTTTTTAATTTCTTTCCCCGTGGGTGTGTCTGGACCCACAACTGTATACATAGCTCCGCCCCTGTTTGCAAGTTGCAATTGCAATGTTCAGAGCTATACCTATGCGCCCCATTACATTCATTCAGATTTCAGAGCTGAACAAGCAAAAGACAAAGGCCACATTAACCATGAGTTTTTGAAGCTTAGGCTGGCAAAGACAGGACAGGCAAACGATCTATTCATATCTTCAGCCCGAATACGAGGATCCAAACGACCATGATGGTGAACACACGATAGGTCGGACCTAGTTCTGCGTTTTAGTACAAATAAAGGCAGCGGAGAGAAGCTAGTGTTGCTAAAAAAAATGCAGAGAAACATGTCATTTAGCTTATAACTTTAGTTTGTTTTGATTATAAACAGCTTGCAAGCCGTAAGAAAGGCCGTATATATGTGGGTGTACGGTGCTAGGTCAACCAGTGACGGAAAGCATTGACAGCGATCTTGAAACATGCCAATCCAGTGACGAGAAGGGCGAGTATGATCAATCTACAGAGCCTACGATAGGGCCTAGCCAGTAGCCTCCACTGGGTTGGGTTGGGGCAACCTAGGACACCTACCTGCATGGATCAGAGAGGATGGCAGCCAGGCAGGCTATTGTTCTTGTTCACAGGGCCTGTTTGGTTCCCAGTCTCCACTTAAGCCTGACTAGGATTGGAGCCTAGGTAGGCTTGGTCTGGTCCCATCAAACCAACATGCGCTTGTTTGGTTGCATGGACTACCTAAGCCTAGTTTAGAATTGGTGTGTTTGATTTCCTGACTTGACTTGGATAGAATCACCTTATCTACTTCCAGTAACTTCACCCCCTATAGAACATTCTATCAAGTCTGAATTTAGTTTTAAGTTATGTTTTTCCTGTTTTCAAAACTTCAAATGTTTGAAACCAATAAGTTTTTGACGTTGGTCCTTTAATCAATGTTAGAGATCTCAGATGGATGAACAACTTTGCTTAAAGACGATCAAGTTGTTTTGCAAAATCGAGAGAACAAGAGAGAGGAAGATGTGTTGTCAGTCGCTACAGTAGCATCTTCTGCTTCACTGCCGGCAATCTCCACGCGCCGGAGAAATTCGTCGTCGCAACGCCACCTCCGCCCTATTCCTCTTGCACGCAACTTCGCCTCGCCCTTGCGCACAACCCTAGCCTGCTCGCGTCGCCTATAGCCGCCAAAATCGTCCTCAGTGCCGGTTGCCGCCATGGCCGTCGTCGGCAGCAGCACGGCAATGGACGCCCTCCTCGCCGTGACCGCCACGCGCAGGCGCCCAAGGCCCCGCGACCCCTCCCCCGACAATGCCGCTCCTGACACCGGCACCGGTCCCGGCCTCCAGGATCCGCGAGATCCATCGACGAGGTTGCCGAGGGCGGCGCGACCATGCGCGGGACCACCGGGGGCGGCGCGGACGTGCATGGGTGCGGCGTTGGGGATGGTTCGCGCTCGCGGCCACCGTTGGGGAGGGCCGTGTTCGCGGCGGCGGGGCAGGGCACTCGGGGGCACGACTCACGAGGGTCGGCAGTGGGCGCGAACGGCGACAGCGCGGGCGCAGAGGGCTGGAGGTGGAGCAAGGCGCTCATGACGGCGGGGTAGGGCGGCGCTCGTTGCCGACGGTGGAGAAGGCACGGCACCGGAGGAAGTGAAGAGGACGCGAAAGGAGGTGATGGGAGCAGAACTGAGCCTGGCCAAGCCTGGCTCCAGGAAAATGGATCGGGATTTCGTTCTTTGGGAACCTGGCTATGGGGCGTACGGCGGCTAGCTTTAGCCTGGCTAAAGCCCAACTACAGGCAACCAAACAAGCCTAAGTTGGCTCCAGCAGGTCAGGCCAAAGGGTTGGGACCCAACCAAACAGGCCCACAGTAGCTGTAGCCACTGCCCAATGCATGCAGCTACAGGATACAAGCCTGCAGCATGTAGCACCAACACAACCATATGCTCAGTGAGACAGTTACCCTGGATGAATGCAATGCTCTCCCACGAATTTCAGATGCTGTACCGCCAGGGCTCAATGAAGATTTGAATGGAATATGATTCTCAATGGGCAAGCAAAACAATCAGCCGGAAGCAATTTGGCAAGCCTTTTCAGATCTTTGAAGGCATTCTGTCCATCTATAAAATCAGAGAAACTGAACATCCATTGCATACTTGCATCAGAATTACCATATATCTTGAATAAGTCCAGTTTCCATGCTCTAATTGGCAAAATTACCATATATCTTGAATTTGTGATATATGTGAACCAAGAAACAAGTTGAGAGGGCGATACAGATATATCACAAAAACAATGAAAAAATACAGGAGTTCTAGGCCAGTTGAAAGAACAGATTGCAATAGATCTTTAAGTCCAACTCTACACAGGAGGTAAAGAATATTAGGAAAAAGAATAATCAAACAGCAACAATGGAGAGCTCAACTGGCAGCTTATATGAATTGCCATAGATACACAATATATATAATCACAAGCTAGCAGCGTCCACATACCACCCTGAAAATTTGATACTCATACCTAACTCAGAAGATATTTTATACACTCGACCTCTGGTGTCTTTTGAGGATCACCTGAGTCTGGCATCACCTCCCTTGCTTCGGAATGTTGATAGGGAGAAGAAAGAACGTGGCGCTGCATTTTTGGGGATAACACATTTTAGAGAAGATTGCGACTTCGAGAATAATAAGTAATAAATTTGTGGGAAATACATGAGAATAAGTATGAAGAACCAAGATCTTCATATTATATGCATTTAATGAGCAACTTAACATAAGCATATACATGTTTAGAAGTTTTATACCTTTAAGAGAACTTCCAGTCAGTTGATCCTCCCTCAATCTGAAATTTGCAGGTGGGTTTGGAATGGAGCTGCGTAGTGATTGTTCTGCAAATTAAGAATCTTCATCAAGCTTTTGTGCTTTAATAAGGAAAATGTGTGGCAAGAGCTAAGATTGGACAGTAACCAAAGGATATACAGGTGCATTAAGATTCAGAAGTCCATGAGCTAATAAAGCCCTGTGAGTGCTGTTACGGTAATAATAGCCAGGGGTATTAGTGTAATCCCTAGTTTAGGGTTTCCCTCCTGTGTCTCTATATATATAGTCGCCATTGGGCATCAATACAATCATGATCCACAGAAGTTACTGCTTCTGGGGATTACAATTTTGACATTTGGGCCTGGCTACTAGGGTCAACAGTTTCAAAGGTTCCATCTTACTCCTCACGAGCCATTGCAGGGCAGCCTCACAAAAAGAAGTTATTGGATCCTTTCGAATAGCATTGTGCAGGAACTACATAGGAAAAATTACAGCTCTAGCACCTCTTTCCCTTTCTTTTTAAAAATTCACACATTGAAATGGGGTGTGGATCCACTAACATGATCTAGGCGCGAGATAACATGTGCATTATTAATGCAGACAAGTGCATTAACAGAGGAACGTCTACCAGGTCACTCACTCTCTCAACAAATTGAAGGGTGGACAATATAATGAACTACTCAAACCATAAGGCAGAACCAATGCGCCCAGGGTTAGTGTGCATAACATGAGCCAAGAATAATAGGTTATCCTAGGTATATATACCTCAGCAAGAATATGAGTAATGCTCAGAATAGTTTTTTCAACAGTTACAATTTTGTTCGGGTACATGGAGAACAGAAATCTAAAGTTATCAGATAAATATAAGATAATTGTTTGCCAACTCGTAGACATATGGTTGGAACCTTCAGGTACTTTTTTGAAAATTTAGGACTATGATGATCATATTAGAAAGGACCCATTTCTTTAAATTTTATCTAGTGCAAATAAATTGTGGGAATAGTATTCTGAGAAGCATACTAACTAATTGAATGACAACGAAAAGACCTTTTACAGAAAATTAGAAAGTCAAATACCTTGTTCAGCAAAAACCTCGTTCTCAACAAAACCGTCATATGAAGCAAGATAACCCATTCGAGACTTTCTGAAATCATCAGAAGATCCTACTACCAGATCCCGCCCATCTTCCATGTCATCATCACATTCTGAGGCAGTGGAAGCAGATACCCAATCATTTACTAAACCATCACCGCCTCTAGTCTTCCTACCAAATTTCCACAGTTTCTTCAACCCTTTGGAAACATCTTTGCGTGGCTGTTGAGATGCATTGACACCAGCAAAAGGCATCTGTGCACTGCCCCACTTTTTCCGCATCCGAGATACATCAGCATCTGTTATTTCATCAAGTGAATGAGAATTCCATGGTGATGGACTTCCCGACGGTGAATCAGCGAAAGCGTCACCATCTGAATTATCATTCGTGTAGGGGAACAGCTGCGGAAGACGAGAACTCCAGGGTGCTGGAACATCACCAGCTGGATTGTGAACATTTCCTGTAAAAGCAGTGAATTTAGTACCGCCAATCGCGGATGCTTCACTTGGAAAATCAGCATCGCCATTTTCTGACCCTGCGTCATCTGAATTTCCAAATTCATGACTCACTCTTGGGTTCTCACTGTCAGAATCAGCAGGAAAGTCACTTTCTCTAAGGTTTTCTTCAATGCTTTCATATTCTTCCTCTTCTTTGGCATCATCAGGGAATCCTCTTGCTGATCTTCAAAATCACCACTGTCACCATGCTGGAGGGCATTTGCCATCATGGCAGCTGCAGGGTGAGTCCCATTGCCTTTCCTAAGAAAAGGCTTTGGTGGACCCGTTCTGCGGGCACTGTAAGCAAAAGCTCCCTCTGATTGGTTCTTGGAAATTCTTGAGGGAGCCCAATTGTAAATATCCTCATTCCCTGATGAAATGTCCTTCAACTCATCAGGAATTTGGCTCTTCCTCAAAGATTGTGACCTCCTCGATTGATCTTCTTTCAATATACTCTTTGACTCTTCAATAATGCTCTTGCTACGGGCAAAAGACTTTTGCTGAACTCTTGCAGTCGCTCTACTGAGTCCAGGTGAAGGCTTTGTATTTTCTTTTCTTAAGTCAGAGAAACTTGGGACAGACTGTGCGAGAGGATTTTCTGGTGGATTCCTGCGATTAGCATAACCGGAGCTTGCAGTCCTTGATGAACGCTTATGGATAGGACCAGCAGATACCTTTTGGGTGGAAGCAACTTTATTTGAAAAATGCTTCCTGGAATCAGCACTCCTGGAAGAACCGTCACCAGATAGGTAGTCACTATTCAGTTCCTCTTCAACAAAGAATGAGTCAACCACCTGCAGATGGCAAAGGAAATTAAATGCATGTAAAGTCCATATTCTGCATTATTCCAGTACTCCACAACATTGTATGCAACTATAAGATTCTAAGATTTGCATATTGCACTTAAATAGTGAAAATTTGAATAAATACTTTGTAAGGCATTACTTTTCTAGATCAAAGAACTTCAAAGCAACGTATGAGTTAAAGTGAAAATCCCACAGTTATGCACACAAGGTGCATGTTAAGCATTTTCAGTTACCAAAAAATCTTTTAGTAAACTTTTTAAGTGTATTAAGTTAAATATAATTCAATACCTGATCCTTATTTTTTCTTGCTGATCGCGAAGGAGGAATCTTCTGAGAAGAATGAGAAACATAAGTTGAGTCAGGGACATCTGCAGACCGAGAGAATTTAGCTAGCAACTCGGCCTTGCTCCGTTCTAGACTCTCATGCATAGCCTTTAACATTGCTTCCTTCTCCTCTCTCTGCAGTTTCCAGTCTTCCTTCAGTTTTGCATCCCTCTTCTGCATATAATGGTCATAAAACTTCCCTCTCGACTCTTCTAAACTTAGAATGCCAAGTTTTTGTGGTGTGCTAATGTTAAATCCTTGATTATTCACCATCTTCAGAAGCTCACCGGCATCAAAATCATTGGTTGTTATACTCTCCTTTACAACTTGTTTTGTATGAATTGTCTCATGAAGAACCGTTGTCTGCTTTACCTCACTCACCATAGGTGTGCTATCAACCTGCACATCTGTAGGTTTGCCTCGTCGGGAGGATGTTAACTTGTGTTCAGCAAATAATTTCTCCAACTCATTTGCCTTCATATGTAATTCGCCATGCCGATCTTGGTTCCCTTTTCCTGGTCTCATCACTCTAGCCTGCAAGTTTAGTTCCTGATCGGTAATGGATGATTGCCTGCTCAAATTTGTTCCCTGACGAGCAGAACAATCTGAATCAGAACCAGCTGTAACCTTTCTCCCTACATCCTCTGCCTTCCGTGGTAGACGATTCCGCTGCAAACTAGCGTCACGGAACTCAGTTTCTGTAGAGGTAATCTCATCCCTACCAGATGAGCCTTTAACATTAGATCGGGAATTGGATGAGGCTTTTGGTTTAGGATTAACACCACCAGATACCTTTCCAAATGATCGCAAAGGATGATCCTTCCTTCGAGTCACTTCTGCTTCAGTGTGAATATCTTTTGTATGGAGACCTCTAATATCATTCTGGGGAATCTGTTCACTTGCAACTGGTACTTCATGAGCAACAGCTGTGATTTCCTTATCTATCATGCGGACATGCTCCTCTGGCGTTGCGCTAGTTAAAATATCCTTATTTTTCAGCAAGGCTTCCTCAACTGGCTTTGCAGAAGATTTTAGACGGTTTCGAGTGGAAACATTTGAAGTAGCATGATTTGTCATCCTTGTGTGTCCTTGAATAACCCCCGGTTCTTTCCCAAAGGATGACTCACTCTCAATGCTAGAGTTTAGAACCATGTCGTTTTCTGCACCATCACCATATATACTCTCTTTCTGAGGAGCAAGTGTATTACATAAAGTTGAGGGTGGGCACAAATCTGTGGTGGCTGGATCCATTGGTACATTATCCTTTTGACAAGGCCAAGAGTGTGATGTGACTGAATCCTTCTGTCCATTAGAGTCCTCGTTAGCTCTTACTTTAGAATTGGCCTCCAAATCAGTAGACGTTGGAGTCCCGACAGGAGTTCCATTATCCTTTTTGTCATTTAAGTTACTGCTCTCATTGTTGCTGAGATCAATACTCATGTCACTAACACTGCTCCACCTTCTAACTAACTTCTCCATGGAGGCGCCAGAAGGAACCCTGCGGTGCTCACCTTTCCCTGGAACCACCCTACCAGTACCTGCTGAGTTGCTGTTACCAGAACTTGGAGTCTGCTCCTTTTTCTGGCTCTCAAACATGTTTATCCTGTCCTTCACACTCAGCCGCCTTGAAAGCCCTCCTACGGCAGGTGCAGGAGACGCATCTGTTTCTGCTTCTTGTTTATCTACTACCTGTTGGATGGTTGGCTTGGGTTGCTGTTCTGCAGCGGCTTCTAAACCTTGGCTGTTGCTTAGTCTGTGGACCTGAGAGCCACTTCCACTGACTGTAGATTTGTTGTTGGATTGACCGAGATCAACTTGTGGCTCATCTATAGACATGTCTGAACTGGAAGAACCACGGACATTCCCATCGTCAAAGACCTTCCAGTGTGATGAAACTGCTGGCTGTGCAGTTTGAGGACTGATGTCAGGACGCCGCTGGCAAAGTGACATGAATTTCGTGCATGCTTCGCTGAACATAACAAATTTATGTTGTTATACATGTCCAAATATTACTCAACAGGAAAGACAATAAAGGGAAAATATAAAGCAGAGTGGGCACTGAATAACTTCAGTGTTGCCATCGCAATCAGCAGTGTAACAATGGATTGAGGGCCTACAGAGATTCAACAGATTTCACAGCAGATTGGTAATCCCAATTAAAAGAACCTCCTCTCCATGCAAACTTCCCCACTTTCCCGAAATTCAATTGTAAATTTTCTAACTTTACGCTTTACATCTCCCCAAATCTAGACTGTATGTCATATTGTTTATAAACTAATCATGTAAAATTTACCACGCAATGTAATGGCTTTCAAATTTCTAAATAAAAGGAAGTTGTAAAACTAAATTATCCTTTGCTATGCAACTAGAGGTTGTACATATCCTAAATGAGACTTCCCTGCTTCACATAACCTAGAAAATGAGTAACTTGTACACAATATTACCGCTTATGTTACAGGATATAAATTATGAAAAAACTGCAGCTGCTTTAACAGTCTATCAACTCTTAAGAGGAACCAAAATGTGGTGTTGCGTTGCATTACAGGATTAGTTTCGTATATGATTATTAATTTCGTTCGGGTACAAAAATACTTATGAGCAACAACATTAAGCTATAACTATAGGCAATGTATCAAGTGCAAACCAACCTCTCCGTGCAAACCGTGCAAACCAACTGCGGGGGAGAGGTGGGAGGGGGGATTTGCAAAAGTGTAATTAGGAGCGGGCGTAATTACACTTTTGCAAATCCCCCCTCCCACCTCTTCTCCGCAGTTGATTTGCACGGTTTGTACGGAGAGGTTGGTTTGCACTAGATATGTTCCCATAACTATATACCAGCATTATGAGACTGGCAGGTTTTAAGCATTACCTCAGCCGACTGGCACCAAAATGGTTAGCAAAAAGAAGAAGCTCAGATACACTGATAGGATTGAACCCAGCAGAGGATGCTCGAGAACAAGCTGCGGCCAGATCTTGTTTAAGGGCGCTTAGACGCACATCAATTGCCCTAAGAAGTTCTTTCCTGCACAAGAATTGAACTTATAAATTGGCAACTATTAAATTACAAAACACAAGAGTGCAACAGCCAACAGCCATAAATGGGCAGCAGACCTAACAAGAAAAGCACACAGCATGTCTTATGATGTAACAACAAACTGATTCGATAGGTCATGCTTGACTCAGATAAATCAAGTTATGTGGAAAAGAAGAAACAACTGAATAAGAACAGACATGACAAAGGGGCTTACTTTGTAATATCTGCTGCTGCCGCCGCCGCCGCTGCTGCGGCTGTAACATTTTCAGCTGCCAATAAGCATAGCCAGAGATTACATAAACTAGATTCAGAAACAGAAGATATGCAAGATCGTACTAACAATGCAACATTATATCAATATTCATTAACACCACAAACAGTTAGCAATTAATAACAGTATTTATGTCTTTCCTGAATTAGATATAGACTGCTTCCAATGCAAAGCTGGTGCTATCCGATGCATTCTTTCATAGTCAAAAGCTCCTAAAACTCCATGGGGATCAATTATCCAGTTGTGTTCCCATCTATATTTTCCTTCTTTGCTTCTTATTTTTACCATCAATTTGATATTTGAAATTTCAGTGTCACTCAAGCTAACATGGACTCAATTCCCAAAATAAAAAAAAATGCAGAGAAACATTATCAGGTATGAACATAGATGAACTAAGCTAACAATATCCAAACCCCAATTGATAACGGAAAGGCAATCCAAACACAAAACATAATCATCCTACAGTGCCCTGAACATACCAGCTCCACCTGAGGTAGCATCTCCAGTGCCCTGAACAAGGTACAGAAATTTTAAGCAACAGCTGCATCAAGAAACAGAAGGCGAAAAACACTCCAGCATCTGAAACGATTGCTTGGCACTTACTCCCTGCGCATAAATCTTCCTGGCCCCTTCCAGCTGCGACATCTCCAGATCATAGGTGTTCGCCAACTCCAGCACCTCCGGTGTGCTCACGAAGCGCACGAACCTGGAGGCACAGGCCAACCAAACATCCATCAAAATCCAATCTTTTCGGCACCGCCAACCCATGAACCGCCGGATAAGCCACAATCAGCGGACCTCTCAAGGGTGCCCTTGCTAAACCACGGGGAGGGCCGCTCCAGCTGCAACCGGATGGCCGGCGGCGGTGGCTGCGCCGACGCCTGCTCCTCCGCAGCCCGCAGGTGCGCCACGAACGGCTTCACCGACCCTGACGCGATCTTCTCCGTCCGCCCATTGCCACACACCACCAGCTCGCACCTGCGCAGGGACCGCATTTAGCGCACAAGAACCTCACGAAAGCATCAAATGGATGGAATTTTCCTTCACATCCTCTCCCTTTCTCACCGCTGACGCCGTGGGGAGAGCTGGAAGAGCGCGAAGTCGAGCGGCGCGTCGGCCTCCATGGCGGCCCCCACCACTGCTGCCGCCGGCGGCGAGCTCGGATCTGGCGGATCCCGGACACGAGCTCCACCCCGCGCCGCAACCCCACAAGAAGCGCCGGAACGGCCGCGTGGGGCGTCAATGCAGCTCCCACGGCGACAAGATCGCGGCTTGCGGCGTCGGCGGCGTTTGCCGGACCGTGCTGCGGCGGCCCGGATCTCGCCGACACGCGGCCGAATCCGATGAGCGCGCGTGCGACGGTGGAAGAGCGGAAGTGGAAGAAGAGAGGACTAGAGAGCACCACTGCGTGTTTGGTGTTGGTGGTGGTGATGGTGGACTCTTCTCGGCTCACTGGTGGCTGCTGCAGAGGAATGGAGAAGCTAAAATAAAGAAAAAAATTGGGGGTATTTGAGAGAGATTACTGGCTTGATTTTGGAGGTTTGGTTAAAGTGCGTGTGTGATTATGCGTTAAGCTCTTTTTTGTGACTGGAATACGGACAAAAGAATGTAGGTGGAGCTGAAGGGCAGCTACTTTTGGTTCTCTTGGAGGATATAACGGCAACGGCATCAAGAGGACTGCAGCGCTTACCATTTTGCCCCTCCAGCTCCAGGAGAAGATGTAGGCCTGGCTTTTGAAGTTTGTTGGAGGGATTTTTGTCTCAGAAGGACCACATTTGATGATATAAAGAAATTAACAAGAACCATCTGGTGGTACATATATTATTACTATGGTTAAATAAATATTGTAATTTTTTTACTTGGAGCTATAAATGTGTAAATTTGTGTTTAATTGGTCAAGAAATGTTAGGTCACCAAATTTTTAATTAGCAAATTCCACTTTTGCTTAACATCTCTATCGAACATGATGCATCAGTAATGAAGTGTGCCGTGCAGAGTGAACTGGAAGCATTGGTAGTTTATGGTACATTAATTATGCTTTGGCCATAAGCTTTTATAGTACTACTATGTGATTTCATGAGAGTTATCTTAAGATTTTATAGTAGTACTACTAGGCTGTTAAATTGATTTGATACCCACGATAACTTTTTTCTTAGCCTATGGAAAATACTAGCCTCAAGCATGAGCTCGCAAATTCTGTAGTTTTTGCCTTTCTGAGTACACCCCTTGTATAAGCCAAATTTCAGCGAAACGAAAACATGATGCTTATGCTGATTTGTTGTGAGAGAAAACGTTGTTCGTTCGCTGAAAAGTATTGCTGAAGTAGTTCAAGCAAACAGGGCACCAAAACAGGAAAACAAATTGACAACATTCTGAAAAAAATATAACATATGTACAATGTACAATGAACAATGGTGTGGTTTTTTTAAGGTGTAAAAATAGTTAAGTTACTTTTCTCCTGAAAATACTACACATGCGCGGATGCTCACGTAAACGTATGCACACTCGTCCCTATAAACATCACAAAGAGAATAAGCCGATAGATTTTGAAAATAATGAAGTCGTCGTATAGTTGTTTTATATGGACTTCTCGACTACCACTAAAGAAATAGCACTCAACCAAAAAACCTAGCTAACTAAGCCACTAAGGCATGCTCGGTTCACAAGGATTAAATTACTTTATTGTCCCTTTTTATTATGTTTAATTCCCTTTTTTTGCCGTTGCATGTAAAACAAGCCATCTAACATGAAATTTACCATGCCAATGATTGTTCTATAAACAGACTGGGGCCCAAAGAGCTGAACAGTGATACACCCCTTCCCCCTTCCAAATATAGCTTAGACTAACCTTATCTTGCTTAACTGATAGTATTAATAGTTGAAGAATAAATGTTTTTTCACCAAACTTCTTTTATAGTATCTTCTCTCATAGTCCTTTCCTAGTTTTTTATAAACAAATTCCCAAAAATCTAAGCCTTGCTGTTGACTGACTGTTCGGGAGAAAACGAGTGGACCAAGGAAAGGAAAAAGATATATAATTGCATGTACAAGTCGTACGGATGCTTAAAAAACAGTATGAGGAAACCAGTGAATATCAAATCATGGTGACGCAACTCCGATGCCAATTTCCCATCTTCCTTGTCGGTGAAAACAACTTAAACAACTGTGAAATGCAATCCAAGCAGTGTTGTCCAATGGCAACGTACATGTTCATGTCACCCCTAGAAAAAAACAGCACGAATCCAAAGCTCTAGTTCACTCAATAACTGTTAACTAATCTTACCTCCACTAGCATGTGCTCGGTAATTTTTACTTTTTAATGTACTGTTTGGAATCATATGAACAGGTTGGGAAACGGAAAAGCTGAGACAGGGTAATAGTGGTACTAGCTGAAGAAGATGACGCGGGGTAGTTGGCACATTAAGCTCACAGATCACCCAACGCAGTCTCTTTCACCTCGAGTCACTAGATTCTGCCTCAAGATTTCTAACAAACTCTGATTTATCCATTACTTTAGTTTTGTTTAATGATTTCTTTAAAACAAATCAGACATAAGAGATGTCGATTGTATTGAAAATAAAAAAAGGCCCAAACGAAGCAATACAACAAATCAATAGCCCAAGAGAGTTAAGCAGCAGCAACAATAACAAAGCTAAGGAACAACCGAAATAATTAAACCAACTAATGGCACCGGCTCCCTAAAATGGAAATTCAACACGCGTCGCAAAACATTGTCTTGTACTCACCACCCTTGTATGTTATACATCACTGATCAACTACTACACAAGCTCCACACCACAACTAGCTGGTTGTAACACCGCCCACCATCTTTATAACCGAACAATAAAGCTGGTAAGTCAACTGTCCCACAGTAAGTTAGTCATTGCCAGCTCGCTATAAACTATGTAGCTGTAACGCCATAAAATCTATCTGTATGGACTCTCGATATAATGTCTTACATCGCACTAGGCCCTTTCATGCAAGGCTAGCCGCCAAACTGAAACGTGAGGAGCTGCTTTCTAGGCATCGCCATGCCGACTACATCCACCATGATTCGCAAGATACACCGTAGCTCGTGGCAACCCATCCACCTGATCAAAGATAGCAAAAGTGTCACATAGGGCCTCCATTTGAACAAAAGACCTTTTTGCGTCGAAGGAGATGACCAACATAAGCGTGTTATCGAAGTAACATGCACGATGCAACTAGGGGCACACCGTCCCACGTAGCGGTGGCTATTTTGTTTAGTTAATTTATGTGATGTAATTACATATCACATCCTTCTCTAATTCATTGAATCCTGACACATATTCACATTAAGTGGTTTCTGTTATGATTTGTGGAATTTTAGTTTCTTAAATTTTATTCGTTGCTGATGTAGGAACAGAAGTCCAATACAAATGACATGCTCAAAGATTGGGTCTGGAAACCGACATTTGTACAGTGCTGTGTTGGCGCCACAATGATTTGTACCGATGTGATGCGTAAAGGCGCCAGTACTTGCACCACAATTCCATAAAACAGTGCAAGCGCGGCTTGGTCTAGGTGCTAGTTTTGTGCTCATGAGATTGCAATGTTCCACCACCTTTTCATATTTTTTTTTCTTCTTCCTGCAGAGTAGGTGAACACCAGGATTTGGGTTGATCACCTGCCGAGTACTAGAACTTGGTGTCTTGTTAGCATTGTTTAACTGCAATGATGAACTCATTACTCGTGTACGGGTCAACAAAACCAAATCGAACAAAAGTGCAATTATGAACTCATGATGGTACAAATTAGAGTTTTTATTTTCTCCTAAATTGTATATGCTTATGTATCAACTGATATTACTACTATATAGTTTACCGAACTTGCTAAACACACATATAGATCGATTACTCATAAGTTATAATAATGCACATTTATTTGTTCCGAAAATGAATCAGGTTTTGCTCTTAAAATTCATCTGTGGTAACAAAATCCCTTCAAAGTTCAAACTAAATGCCATAGATTGAATATGTGTCCTCCTGCACAGCACAGAGGCCAAAGTCCGAAATTATTTAACCTAGTGGAAGACTAATGTTTTAACCTTATTTCTTCCATGATAAAAATAGGGGTCATGGTGTTCTTCACGAGGTTAAGTTTCTCAAGAACAAAGGACCCAAACATTAGTACATCTCTCGCCATTTAAAATGAGGTGGCACCCCTCTCCACATAGCATTGGCAGATGATTCCAAGCAACCAAATAAATAAAAATAACAAACAAATAAATACACATCGCCTATTGGAGTTGAGCACACCACAGCCCACAGTAAAAAGGTCAACAGGACAAGCAACGTACTATAGTATGTACTTTGACATGCATCACTGCTAATGATACAATCGCCCTGTTCGTTTGGGCTGGTTTGGCTTATAAGTCATGGCTAAAAGTACTGTTGGCTGACTTGGTGTGAGAGAAAAATATTGTTCGTCGACTGATAAGCCATGACTTATAAGTCAAATATGACTAAGCGAACAGGCTGAATATTAAGGGCTAAGACATCCTTTAGTACAGCAGAGCAGTCTGCTTCCAAGTCAGTCTGGCCTTTCTGATTGGCAGCTTCTCAAATAGTTTAATCCCCACTCCTGTCACATAACATAACCCTGCTGCATCTGTATATACTCTGATTCTACTGGACAGCTACCTCTGGTATTTGACTTTCTGTACCCTAGAAAAATACACGCATATTTACATCTAGGCGCCTCAAATCTGATGAATACTTGTGATTTGTTTGGCATCATCTTTTGCAACTGTAATTCCTTTTCCTAAGCTGACGGATTAACCAGCCGACACTCGGACAAGATGGAGGGCGACCAGAGTGCTCATTTTACACGGTTTCTTTAATAGGGAAGTTGCTGGTGGACAGGTCTCCGAAGTGTCTTGCTTTGCACTCCTGCGCTGCAAAACATGAGCCCATTTGTCTGGTCTCCCTTTTCCTTTCCTTTCCTTTCCCCTCCTGAGATTTGATTGATCGATTGATTAATATACTTTTTTTTTAAAAAAAAAGAGCTAGTAGGAACTAGGAATTGATTGATTAACCTGCCCGAGCTTAGCCTCGAGATTTCCACCCGTCAGAGGATCTCTGTTAAGTGTCACTCAATCATG